GTTATAAATTGAATAAAAACTTCTCAATTAACATGCTGTACTGAATAAATATGGCCTAAAGTTCTTTTCTGTTGTCACATGTATATTTCACAATTTTGTATGCAAATCTCAAAATTTATAATAATTGTGAATAATTTTTTAATATCACTTTCTAAATGATATTATTTTTGAATTAAAATGAATCTTTTAATAATTTGACCGTAAGAAAACAATGTCACATTTATGCTTTACATTAAATCATACTTATCTGTAATTATGCTAAGATTTTATAAAAAAAATTTTTGAATATTATTAGAAAATAACACTAAATTAAATTAAAAAATAAATTATTGTCTTGTCTTAACATTTAAAAATATTTATATGTTTTTATAAAACAAGATCAGAAGCAGGTAATGAACAAGATGGAAAGGCAAAGTTTTTAACACTTTTGGAAACTATATAGCACTGATTATGCAGTAGGTTGTAGGTGTTGAAAACTATGAATTTACGAATTTATATAAAATTTTGTGATGCTTATTGTGTGCTTTAAATTTGGTTAACATGGAATTTCATAATGCAAGAAATGAGACGTTGTAGCAGTTTAAAGTTTGAAAGATGATAATGTCTTTTTTTAACATAGAAAGAATATGAGGCAACTTTTAAAAAAAGATGATTATGAAAAATTAAAAATCAATTCTTGTGTAGCATGAAATATAAAAATAGTATTTCTTTTTTAAAGTGGCTTTTACATTCAGTGGTCAGAATTGGCAAACTTAACCTCACAATCTTTAATCTGCAATTTCAGATGCAAAGGATTTAAATTTAGTTGCTCTATAGCAAATATGTATAACATGTATCTGCATATGAGTTGGAAAACGAAAAGGTTTTTAATCTATGAAAACTGAATTTTTTAAATTTATTTTACAAGTTTTAACCTGTTAACAAAAGAGATTATTACCAGTAATGGAAAAAAGCCATCATTTATAGACAAAACATCTATTATTCTTTACAGATATATATCCTTTAGTATTTCAGTTGTAACAAATATATTCAACATATATAATTACATAATGTGTTATAAGAAGCAATAAATTTCTAACTTATACAGATACATAGTTTAGGATATTACATACGAAAAGTATGTTGTACTGACATAATTACTTCGTGAAATAATACAAACAAATAACCTGGAATGGTTACATATTTACATGAGAAAAACACGTTCTTTTCACATAATTACTTGCTGTAATATTACCCACAAATAATCTGTAACCATTACAGATATATCGTTTGGGATTTTACATGAGAAAAACATGTTTTTTTACATAATTACTTGCTGTAATATTACACGCAAATCATCTGTAATCATTACAGATATATCGTTTGGGATTTTACATGAGAAAAATATGTTCTACTTACATAATTATTTGCTGTAACATGACAAGGAAAAGATCTGTAACCATTACAGGCATTATCCTTGTAAAGTTGCAACGAATGCACCTGTTACTGTTACTCAAATAACCCATGGCATCCCAGTTTCCATGAGTTTTTTTAGTAACGTTACAGAATTTTTTTTACAGTGTGGCACCCAATGATCATGCCCTGCTTAAGATCCTTCAGCTCGGCCAACTTACTCATTATGATTTCCTAACGGATCTTTCCAATACTTTTACATAGTTTGATGGCATTTCGGACTGCTGTAACAACTACTTGTCCAGAATGGTGTCCAGCTACTTTTGGTTATATATTGTATCTTTTATTGCTCGACTTCAGAAGAGATAGAAATTAAGAGGAATGAACTTGCAGAGATCTAGTACGCTTCGCTATCATAAAATGGTAACTAGATTTACTTAAGGGTTAAATCTTGCGAATTCTCACACAGGCGTCAAGATAAACACAACGAGGGAAACGGTGTAAAATACCCTTTTATTTATCACAACCTCTTTAACAGACGGCACAGACTTACGTGGATACAAAACAGCACTGATCGCTTGGGGTGAGAATGTAAAAGTTAACAATAAATTGAAAGATAAAGCTGTAGTGCTAGACAACACAATTCAATTTAATCTAGCAGGCTGACTCAGAAAATTTACACCGGCAAGTTACTAATTCGATGGCAAGAATGTGTAGCCGCTATTAATAGCTGGCGAAACTAGCAAACGTATGCTTTCATCAGCGAAATCATGCTCTGTCTAACCTTTTCGTTCCAACAGTTTAAATACTCTCATTCATCTACTTCATTTGCATCCTGGCGAGGAAATCCAAGGGAAAATAAGAGAATTCAAGTTGGTTGGTTTGGGGTTATGCCTTCGTGAGGACTTTCTAAGGAAAAACTGACCCATAATTACGTTAGACATTAGAAAAGGCGCGAAATCATTATGCGGGCACTCAGTTCAGTCCTTCAAAATAAAACCTGACAGTTATATGATGGTTGCTTGATGCTAAAGCACGTGAAGGATATCTGCCTAAGGGGAAGGATGCCTTCATGGAGGACTTTCTAAGGAAAACTGGCTCATACATACATTACACATGGGGAAAGACCACGAAAACGCCCATGCAACCAGTCCATTTGCGGAATTCGAACCTCGGACCGAACTACCAGTCTTCAGAAATCTAGTTCAGAGACTTTACCGCTCGGTAAGCGAATTTAGAAAAGGCTCACAAATTAAAATAACTATTATTAAAATTAAGTAGGACCCTACAGACTACAATTATGTGAAATGCGCATTGGCAACATACTGAAGCAATTTAAACCCTGATTAAAACACTGAAAGTCATCCAGATATTGGAAAGAAAAAGTTTTTCCATGTCGTCTCAGACTTCTTTGGTTTATGTGGTTACGGCAGTAGCCTCGAGGGCCATCTGCCTAAGCGGAGGGAAGTCTTCGTGGAGGACTTTCTCAAGGAAACTGGCTCGTATACACGTTACACATGTGGAAAACCACGAAGACGCCCATACAGCCAGCTTGTTCGCAGGATTAGAACCTCGGAACAAACTACTTTACTGCTCAGCCGCTAGTGGGCCCGTCTTAGACTGGACCCTTTAGAACGACACAGCGGTGTTTACTAAGAGAAGAGTATATTCCAATATGCAGCAAGTGTCATGTTCAGATATCTATCTAGCACAGGAATAGTAAACCTGATCATTATCGCCCACTAGTGGGCGATTTAAACTTTAATGGTGGGGGGTGAAGACTTTTGTCCATCCGATGATGAAAGTCTGTTCTTCCAAGCTCAGCTCTCTCCTGTTTCTATATCTTTCGGCTTTGCCACTTCTCTTAGGTGTTGTTCTGTGAGTATAGCGCGCGTAATTGGATTATCCCATCTTAACAAAGCGTGAGGCTAGGAGAAATTTTTCCCAGAAACGAACTCCTCTACCATTGAAGATTTCCTACCCTAAACTGTTTCACTGGAGCCGATGACCCAACTAGTAACGCACAATATAAATTTTCAGTTTGTATAAATATAAGCAAAGTATAAATAAATGGATGGATTTAACTATATATATTTTTACTAAGCCTCCACTCAAAAAATTAATTTGCATTTATGCTAAACTATGTTATTGAGAAACTCGTGGAGGCGGTAAGGAAATTCTACTACTTACATAGTGGGAGGTAGGTACAAAAAGGTTGACTACCCCTGATCTAGCATATTTAAATTGAATGCTTAAATTATGCTTATTTGCATCATCATTATTTCCAAAGCATTTCATTGTATTATATATTTGAATTAGAAAAAAACCCGCTCAAATATTTTTTAGTTTTTGAAAGAGATTAATCCATTTAATTAACTTGATCAAATGCAGTATTGAATTTAAGATTATTTGTAAATTGAATTTCTTACGCGAGCGCATTAATTTCTGTAAGTTTATTTAGCAACGTGTTACTATTACAGATTTTTCCATGGAGTTCAGATGTTTATCTTTTCTTTGTGTGACATCTTTCCCTTGACATTAGATCAATTGTTTAGGCCACCCAATCTGCACTGAGGATTTAAAAATTTTTTATACATGCATTTTTTATTTACACATATATTTTTTTTAGCATCTATATACTTTTGTTGTTTATTTCACTTCAAATGTTTATCTTTTTTTTTTTTTTTTTGTATTAAAATTATGTTTGTTAAAAATGCTATCTTGTGTCTGGCACAGGTTTGGCATGTTTTGTGCCAAAGTATAAAAACAACCAAATAATACTCTTAAAAATTAATTTTCGTTTTGCTTACATAAGATGACTAAAATTTACAGTCACGATGCTAAAGTAGCTTACTCACTATTTCCAAACACAATTTTCTATTTCAAAGATGGCATTTTTTTTTAGTTTATTAATTATACATATAAAAATAAAAATCATTACACAGCCAAAATCTATATCTTTACTACGAACATAGTGTGGCAACTGGCTGTTTATCGAGTTTAAATACTTTAAAAAGCATGAATTTGTCCGATATTCAAAAGGATGAATTTATAAATGCACATATTCTTTCCCTTACAATGCTTCGATTTTACCTTTTAGAAGATGAGCATGTTAAATGGCATCTGCAAAATATGCATCAACAGATACAGCATAAAATATACTAAAATTTATAGTTTAGTTTGGCTTCCTTGATCATGGCAAAGCATTCAAAGGCTATCTGTCTAAGGGGAAGAGATGACTTCGTGGGAGATTTTCTAAGGGAAACTGGCTCGCATGTAAGTTATGCTTGAGGAAACCATTGAAAATGCACATGCAGCGAGCTCGTTCGCCAGGATTCGATCACCGGACCGAACTACCAGTGTTTAGCATCTTTCCCGCTCGGCCGTTGAAGCGCAGCAGAATTACTTCATTTTATCAATGTTTTCACAAGAGATCATAAAAAATTTAAGTAAAAACCTTTAGTTAAAAAAATAAGAAAAGATAACGGAGAGAAACTTAATTAAAAAAATTTATACTCCTGCATGAATATTTGAACTTTTTAATGCTACAAAAGTAATATTTTTTTTAATAAACATAAAAAGGAATAGAAAGAGAGAAAATAACTTACCATTTCATCTCCAGATGCCATTGAGGAACATATAACAGATTCACACACTGAACTTGCTGGTGATAAGTTATGGACTTGTTGCAAAAGCTCAGTTCCGCGTAAGCAAAAATTAGGTCTTTCATCACCAACATAATCCCACAATTTTTCTGCAGCAACTTTAAAAAGAAGTGTTTCATTAGATAGAAAGTCTAATTGCGATGAGCTTACTGCAGGTGTTAAAGCTACTAGGACAACGGTAGGAGAATTTGATTGTGATCCCATTCCAGACGATGAAGGAGATACAGAAGCTACTTCATAAATTTCATTATTGTGTAAAACTGATTTTGTCAGAGTGATAAGATCAAAAAGTAGTGAAGTTGAACCAAAGAAAAGTTCTTCATTTGTAACAAAGCATACTAATGTAATTATAAGACTCAACCATTCTGGTATAACAGATGATCTAGCTGAAAACGAGAAAAATAGAAAAAAAAATTAGCAATAATGAGTATTTTTCAAATAACATAACTCAGATTAACTTATGACATACTTCTAATTTTTAGGAAAATCCTTGCCTTTTAAAATATAAATGGAATTGTTCTCAAAGGCAAGTCAAATAAAAAAAAATTAATTTAGCAAATAAATGATTTCTCTGCAAACAGCCACATCTAGCCTTGCTTTCTTTCCCAATATTCAAATTTTAACCTCCTGCCAAACTATATGCATAGGTAAAAAAAGTAATGATTTGAGTCCAAAAACTTGATAAACAGTTCCCTGTGAATGAATAGGGTCCTTACAATACGTGTTTACTATTTTTAGAATGATGCCTGTTTGTCTATGTTTCCGAGTGAATTTTTTTTTTTTTGTTTTTTTTTTGTGTGTGTGTGTGTGTCCATGATAACTCTTATATGAAACTTTCAAAAACTTCTATTTTCCGTATTTAAGCTTTCTACATTCATTTAAAGAGATGATTAGATTTTGGGTAAAATTAGATAACCGGAAATGGTACTTTACAGGAAGCTTATGACAGTTCTTAATGGAAAAACTGTATTAAAATATAACCCTAGATTTTCCAATTTTTAGTATTTAAGACATTTATATTTATGGGAACAAAATTAGATTTTAGCTAAAACTGATAAATTGGAAATGATACTTTATTCGAAGCTCTGAACAGATATTTGTAAAAAAAAAAAAAAAAAAAAAAAAAAAAAAAAAAGATAATTCAAAATTTCTCAACTGTGGGCATTTAAAATAAGTATGTGATCGAGAACAATATATTACATTTATAATAATTAAATGCATTCTTGGAATTATACTAAATGCGACGAGAATAAGCTCATTATAGAGACCAGCTCATGTTATAAAGCAATTAAATGTATTAGCCTCATTCCTCAACGTGTTCATTTCGCTTTTGCTTAAAATCATTTTTCAAATAAAAGGTTGCTGTCCATAAACGGTATTGCTATGTATTATTTTGAAGAAATAATATTGTAAATATAAACAATACAGCGAATATGAAAAGAAATGCATGGCAACACTTACCCCCACCCTGCGGGTCGACGTAGAGAACTCTGCGAAGCAACCTGCTAGGATTTGTACCTAGGTAGTCTCCATTCCAGACGATGAAGGAGATATCAACACAGGTAGTCTACCTAGGTATGGTCATAGGTAAACTACTTAACGTAGCCTCGGCCTAGGGGGTATACAAACTACGAACCTAGTGATTCTGGAGGCACCGGAAAGGTCATTTATTGGCCGGTCCGTGGGTCTGGCAAGTCCTAGAGCTGAGGGCTCTAGTAGCCCGAGCTCTCTTGGGATGGCGTCCCGAGTACGCTAGATAATTCCCTTTGCGACAGCCAGTCAGAAGGACTGGCAGGTAGCGACGGGCATATTCACAAAGCCTACAAACCGTTTCTTCTACTGTTTGCTCCGATTGGTTAAAACAGGAAACGTAGGGTTACAGAATCTTGTACTTGGCGACTTTTTCTTCATCGCCTATACTATTTCTATATCAGCCTCGTGTACCGAAAAGTGTGCGAAAGATAATGGCGAAACCGCAGCTCAACGGTAACGAGGATGGAAAAATTTCTCGGCTTTCTAGATCGCCGGTTCTATCCCCGCTCGTGACTTTTATGAACTCTCTGCCCTGGACTGGATTTATTTTCTATCCTCACTTTACTTGAATGACTTTAAATTGTCTATTGGTCATTATCGGCCTTTGGTCGCCTTCCGGTGCGGTGTTAAAAATTGAACATTATTTCATTTTCTCTACTTTTTGTGAATGATAATTTTTCTTATTTTTATTTACTGGTTTGTACTCTTTGCAGTAGGTACCAGTAGCAAGATTATGCACAAAGATCCCGAAAAGCGTTTCTATAGTAACAGAGCATAATGGAATAAAATATAATTTTAGTTACACTTATTTTCATAATTTAGATTAAAAGAATATGTATCCGATGCCCTTAAATGTTTATTGAATTGACTGATTGTAAATATTGATTGTAAAACTTTTTTCTTGCAAAACAATTATCGTACTTTTAACAGTTTAAATTCAAATACAAATAAACTATTAATAAGATCAGCAGGTTATTTAAAATATATTCCATACAATTCCTCTTAGCTTTCATTTACAAAATAAAAAAATATCGAATGAAATAAACGCTGTTTCTTCTCGCTGTACTGAAAGCCTGCAAGGTTTGTTTGGCGTTAATTACCACGCCTACAAGGTGATTACTCGCCATTTCAAATATGCCCGACAAGCAGATGTTTCACCCAATGAGAGCAGACTGTAGTAGAAATGGTGTGTAGGCTTTGTGAATATGCTAGCGACGGGTAGAAATGATTAAACTCGCATGGGAACAAGTGAATTCATCGATACTGAATGCTTGCTGACATCAGCACTGGCCAGAAGTTTTCAACAATTTCAAAGGATTTCCAGCGACTGAAAATGAAGACAAGGAAATCGCGCAAACTGCAAAAGCAAGAGGCGAAAAAGGATTTAGATACGGAAGAAAGAGAAATCAAAGAATTAGTCGATAATGATATTCGTGAAATGACAAATAAAGAAGTAGCCGACATAGAAAACAGCGATAGTGAAGAAGACAAAGACCTTTTAACAACAAGAAGTTAAACCAATTGTTAGCAGAGGCATAGTAAATGTCTGATTTTGTAACGGAGATTGATCCAAATGAAGAAAGAACAGGATACTTCATAAGGAGTATTGAAAAACTGTGCACTCTTTATCGCAAAACGTTTAATAAGTTGCATTAGACACAGTGTCAAGCAAAAATCGCCAGCTATTTAAAAAAATCATAGCCTCGCACTTATTATTAAGCAGTAACAGAAATCCTTTCAATTAACATTTGTTTCATTTTCCCCTTTTAATTACAATAACATTTAGATTCATCTAAATTATGCATTTCTTAATTTGAACTACATCTAGCCCATTTTTTTCAATAGAAAGTTAACTTTGGCGAATGCGATTTTGCCATACGCGAAATGCGTTAATAACGCAACCCCAGCATTTGACAAGGGTTTATTGTATGTCCCACTTTATTTAAAGCAATAATTACAGCCTGAAACAATGAGTAACATTTTTAGCTCTTGCAAAGCCATACAAGGTAACTAAGGAAAACCACACTTAACAAGCATGACAACTTTATATTCTTACTTTATGATTTGTGTAGGATGATATTCAACAACCACTTTAACTCAGCTGACGACTTATAAGCCAACTAAGTTAATTAACACATACAAGATGAATGAAAAAGGTGAATTTTTTTAAAAATATTTATCCCGGCTCAATATCTCCATTTATAAACTGACACTATACAGTAGTTGGAAAGCGTTCTGCTTTAAAATAAAATTAAAATAAATAAATAAATAAAAAAAAAATAAATAAATAAAATAATAAAAAAAAAACCTTTTAACCCTTTATTATAATCTTTCTACAGTAAAATTTACACTTTGTTTATATTTCCTTTAGTTAGGAATACAACTTTCCACAGCTTGGTATATTACTACAAACTTTTAATCACTAAAACATGCAACTTTTATTCCATAGCCCTTCTCTTAATTTTTTTTTTCCTTAAAATTCCTGAATTACATTGGTAGTGGTAAAGAAAAAATGACACAAATCAATATATTTGCTCTTGAAAATGTTGCTGGACATTCCTAAGTAAAGCTCCAGAACTTTCAGTTTTTAACTAACTAAAATATAATGCACATTTCAATGACCACAGATTTTAATCTCAGAAAAATGCATAAAAAGTCTTTTTCCCCACAAGAATGCTCTCAAAGCTCTTTTATTAAAGAGTTCAAGAAAGTAGTATGGACAACGTGGGTGAGGATGCAAATGTAAACTAAATAAATAAATACAATAAAATTAATTAAAAAATAAATTAACAATTTAAAAAAAATCTGAAATGTTTCAGATTTGAAATTATGTGCTAAGGGGCATTTTCTTAACATTTTGTGTGTTACCTTTCTTTATTAAATACCATGTTCTTCACACTTAAAATTCAGTTCAAGAGCAATATCGCAAAATAATTTTAAAATGAGCATCTCTTTAAAATTTCCGATGCATAGTCTCACGCGCTGGAGATAGAAATGTTTTTTCAGTACAAATGTTGCCATTGCTCGCTTTGAAATCATGGAGTTTGTTAATAAAAAATTCGTTAGTTTTATGAAATATGAAATCAATAATAATATAAATTCCAAATTTGGGCTTCCAAATGCCCATATTCGGGTGGAAACATATTTTATTCGAAATTTGATGGTTCTATGTACCGTTGTTTTATCACAGTGTGAGAGACATACATTTATGCAGATTCTTCATTATTTAATTTCTTTAAATATAATACAGGGCGATAATATTTGGTGGCAACAATTTGAAAAGTGAACCAACGCTTGTAGTGAATCAACGCAAAATGCCAAAACGAAATTAATAGTCCTTCTGGAGAAATTGCCCCTTTGGACTAAAATAAAAAAAATAATAATAAATTTTTATGTGATGTGCATTTATACTACCGTCTGATACCACTGTTTATACCACTGTCTGAACAGAGCCGTCTAGATGACAGTTACTTTGCCTGCCTCCATTTTAGCTCTAAAGGAGAACGCCCAGTTCAGTTTTGAAGGGAATAAATCCAAGGGTCTCCCATTCCTCTTCTCCTACCACCAAGGCTCTTGAGAGGATTTTCCACTAGCTGTGCATGTCAACTGCCCCATACTGCAAAGACACTATGCACTTATAAACATCCATGCCTTCCTTGGAATTCAAAACTGGGTCCAAATAATATTGTAGCCACCAGTGATGACCCTATACCAATCACGGCCCATGCAATAGGCTTAAATTATCAAATTAGGCACTTACCAAAATTAAAAGAGACATTAAAAATTGGGTACTTTGATATTATCACAACCACCTTGGTAGAAGTCGCTAAATTATCAGAGGTCACCAAATTGTGGCCACCATGCACATAGCAATTATTCAAGCAACTATATCAATAACTGTAGGTTTGAATATGGAAAGTCGCCATTTTTGTACATGCTGTTTTGGTTGTATTAGAAGCTCTAAACGCAAATTATGATATTATTAGTCTCCACCTAAATTTTGAAGTACGCACTTGTAGGATTTGCCTGCAAACGAAGAAAGTACTGTGAAATTTTTGCGCGAATGTCATATTTTGCCACAAAGTCTGGAATGTTCAAATTCGCAATTGAATATGCTGTATTTTTCCAAAACAACTTTTTTAAAATGCTACATGAAAAAGTGTAACGAACACGTCGGCATCCGAAGTATAACTGGTTCTACAATAATTCGTCTGCCATTTATTACAGCAGTCAGATTTATGTACTGCTAGAGGAAAGAATTAAAGAGTCAAATTGTATTTAAAAGAGTTAGAAATGGCCAGTAAAACCGTAGTAGATTGGAGTAATTACATGCGGGAGATTTGCAGAACAAAGAAGAAACCAAAACTTATTTGTAAGTGGTTTAAGTAAATTGTTTTCCAGGATAATATAAATATCGAACTAAAATTAAAATATGTATCTAATAACATGTATGATATGAAATAAGTAACTTTCACCGATTTGAAATTACCATCCCTTTTTTTCTTCAAAAAATTACCAAATTTCACCAAGAAAGTTGCGATAATAACAAAGTACCAAAAATTGAATAAAAAATTTTCTTTTACACAAGCCAAAAGCATTAATCATCAAAATGAGCAACTTTTGTTTTCTAGTTGGTCCACAAATTTTATCTTGGATTTTTTTTTTTTTTTTTAGACAGTACCAGATACAAAAAATGGGGTGCTAGGGGAATCAGTAAATTCATTTTCAAATATATCTGTGAATTTTTCACGTTTAAGGCATGGAATTTTGTTTTTAATTAATAAAAGCACATTTCTGTGCCATATTTTAAAAGGCTTTATAATTAGAAGTAGTGTATGTTTAAGATTAATATTAATGAAAATAAAGTATGCAGCTATCTTTTTTACAACTCATACAGGATTGTTCATTAAATAGCAATACCAAGAAGGGGATATGGGAGAGGACTGAATTTTGCATGATAAGTAGACTAAAAAAGATGACGTAAATTAATAGAAGAGTACCATATAGTGCTATTCATAAGTGATATAACAGGAAGTATCATACGAGTAAAGCCAATATAAAACCTTGGAATTGTGTTTGTTTGCAAGTCTTGCGCATGGGAAAGAAGGTAACACAAAACCAATATAAAGCCCTGGAATTGCATTTGTAAACCTTGCTGATGGAAGGATCTAATATGCTGCAACTAACATCTGATCCATGAATGCATAGCAAATAGCCACTAGTTTGTTATTTAACTAAATATGGCAAAGCACATAATGGGTATGTTTTGAGGAGGAGAGTTTTCTAAAGAAAACTAGCTTGTGAAAATTGTGATGCCAGATATTATTACTACATCTCAGCAGATGAGCTTTAGCATCATACGAAATGCACAATTATATGCCTTAAACATGTCTGATAAAAATTGTGTCTAAAACAGTTGCCTATTGAATCACTTCATCCTTATAATATAAGCTGTTTCTTCAATAAATACGGCTTTCGTAATCTTTCCCTTTTTTCGGTGTTGCATTTTCAATGGGCAGAAATATATAAAACATTTCACTTCTTAATTCACATTTAAAAGAAAAAAAGAAAAAACTTAACATAAAAAATGATGCATTTTTTAGGTCATAAACAGTAAAAACTGAAAAGAGCATATTTGAATCTAACACAATATTTTTACTTACGTGCATTTAAATGCTTGTCATATAAGTTTTTCGAGTTGGTGTAAAATGTAGGAAAAGTTAATAACTCAATAAAGAGATTGCACAATCGCTCAAAACAATTACATACTGCAACATCTGAAGAAATGTCTTCCAATGCATCTCCAGTAAACTCAACTGGTTTTGATGATCTCTCTAAAATATCTTGTTTGACTGCAGCTATTTCATCAGAAGTAAGACCGTCACATCTGATTTTCAGACTAGCATGAAGTAAGCGGTTTAAATGTTTTTCCCTTTGTTCTTTACCCTCTTGCTTAGGAAGTAATAAAGACTGGTAACGACTGGTGAATTTGGATATATTTAAAATCATTTTCTCTTTCAAAAATGTAATGAAAAGTAATTGATATTTTTCCACACATAAAGTAATGATACTACGTACACTGCCTTGGACAGCATCATTATCTTGACTACTTTCAGACCCCTCCTTAGAGATGTGGCTATATTTGTCAAAAATTTCAAAAATATTTTTTTTTATCTCTTCTGTACTGAAAGTATTGCTAGTATTATACACATCTTCTCCGTGATAACATGACTCTATATTCTCAGAAATATGATCATTTACTATAATTTCATCAGATTCAAGATTGATTAGTGGAGGCTGCATTTTACATAAAAGTTTAGAACATAATTTCAGTGCAATTGATATGTCATTCACTGGTATAATGCTACAATTATGACAGATCACATCAAAAATATGGCACAACAGTCGAGGTAAATGCTCAGTTCTTGCCTCTAAATAGGTTTCCTGTAATGAAAAACATATGTTTAAATTTATGATAATAAAATAAACATTCCAGAAGAATCTAATTAGGTTAAAAATTACATGAAAGTGAAAAAATACACCATATATTGGAAAAAAACCTATATTACAAAATACAGAGTGCTCATAACTTGTTCAAACAAAATAAGACAGATGATAGTACCCATTAAATTAACAATATTTACAATGAAACCTAATGCTGCATTCCACTCAGTATGTTTGGAAAAAGTAATTTTGAAGGACATCTAGCAAGCACAAGTCGACAATGAAAAATAGCAGCATATGCAGTTGTAGCTGACTGGCTCATCAAGTTTACACAGAAAGCCATACGAAGTAAATGTTAAACAAAGTAAAACACTTGTTTGCTGCCTGAAAAAGAGATACGAGGTGTTAAGTCAAATACGTGGGCACCGTAAATAGAATAGCATACATTGGAGACACTTCCAGAAGCTTCCTGCACAGAGTAACATGAATACGCATTTCCATTAAGAATTCTTCCATGAAAGCATTCTTTGAAGAGGATAGCCCTGGTGTGCCTTGCCATAATTTAAACAATCCAATCCAATCCTTCTACAAGTAAGCAAGAAGTGTCATCCAAAATTGCTCCAGATGACAATTAACAACCTGCAGTTTTTTGTCTTAACGGTCTTCAATAGTGAGGTCTCATTTATACAGGAAGGCATTTTCAACACTCACAATGAACACATCTGCGCTGAAAGCAATCTCTTTGTTACTGCCACACATAAATACCAACAGAGATCTGCCTTAAAATGCCTTCATCAATGATTGACTAATAGGTTCTTACTTGTTGTAAGAACATCTGACTAATGCAATATATACCATTAAATATAATATTAATTGCATGATGCAATCTTTCAAGAGTAAGGGTTTCCTGGTTTAAAGAAGGCTGTTCTGTTCAAAACATAGAACAGGCATGTGCAACTTTGACAGGAATCTTGGACATATTAAAATTAGAAATGTTATGTTGGCCACAGTACTTTACGATTTATTTATATGAAAATATAAAAAATGAACACATCTTAATTAATTTCTCTATAAAAAACCCATCATAAAATCTATAAAAACATAAACCACAAAATAAGGCGATATCTTAAATAAATTTTATTTTTAATTTTTTTGATGCGATGATTGCAACTTCATGGTTAAAACACAATGGTAAATATTTGGGGATACTGCAGATGCTGAAACTAGCAACGTGTTTCCAAGATGCATATGAGTAATTTATGTCATCTTGAATTTCACAAACTTCATCCTTGAAAAATGTTGCTCACATTTATAGGTGCTTCCAGATAATGTCAATTTTTTTTTTCCTGTCTGGGCTAGCTTTGGAATTTTGATACATGGGAAATAGCTTTTACAAAAATAAGTTCCTTGATTTTTGACTTCAGGACAAGGTTCTCTTGTCATTCGATTAATTCTACTTACACAGAAAGTGATGCAGGCTTGAGACCAACATCAAATGAAGAAGAGAAAGTTTGCTTCAAGGTTTTTAAAATCACTGTTGAAGTACCGATTCAAACATTTCAATACATCCACAAATGATTTGCAAGCAAAATCATTTTTAAGGTTCACAAGTGTGGGAAAATGGTAAGTAGTGCCTTACCTTAACTGTCATTCCTAGAGTCAATTGAAATGCTTTGATATGTCCATAAAGCTCATGAATCAACTGTTCCTGAATTTGTAACTTAGTGCTGAATTTAGAGATATGTTGTAATGTTGATAAGAATTGCAAAATCACACAGCCAGGGTCTGTTTTCTATTTCCCAAGTAGGCTTCCCTTTCATATCCATGAAAAGAGATACCTCATCTTTCAAATTATAAAAACGCTTCAACAACTTAGCCGACACACTTGGTAGCAAAGAAATCTTTATGGTCAGAATGAATATTAGCCAGAAATTCTTGAAATAGACAGTGATTTAGCCCCCTCAAATTGATTAAATTTATGCAGGAAGTTATTTTGCCTATCACATGTGCAAATTTGCACACAAATTTTGTTGGTGTATAACGCAATGAAATAGAGACAAATCAACAGAATTGATTTTATTATCAGACAACTATGGTTTTATTTGGGAACAATTCCTACATTTGATCCAATCATTGATGGAACCCCATTATTAGATATTTTGCTTAACTTTTCCCACTTTAAGTTGAACTTAGTAAAAACATTTTTCACTTTCTAGAAAATCTTGTTATATTTCCAGTGGTTGGAGAGTAAACAATTCTTGCATATAACTGAGGCTGGTGTCAACTCTGTCACTAAATATAACCAACTGAATGGTATTAGTGATGCCTGCACTCTCATCAAAAGCAATAGGAAATGCTTCCAGTTTTGATGCAATATATTTAATGTTTAATTTTATGTCATTGGCCATTTCAATAATAAAATTAGATTACCGTCCAACAAGAAAGATTTATCTTCTCAATTTCATTGCTTTTCTTATGACACAGTACATTTGTGACAGCAGTAAGACATTCCTTGACAGACTCATCTTCAAAATCTGGTTTTGAGTGCTTCGCAATTGTTTCTGCCACCAATAAAATTTGCTCAAATAACGTTGTCAGCTACATCATTATGTCGGCAGAGCAGCATCTGTTGTATAGATATAGTTCTTTTTCAAATGTATCCTATCTATTCTCAGATGACCTTTGTAACTGTTGTAATTAGTGTATTTTGTATTGCAATGCCTTTTTAAGTGTTCCTTCAAAACCAAAATTGCTTTCAAACATATCAAGCAAAGAGGCTTCTCCTTCTGTATTACAAACAAATAATTGTCAGGCCACTTCTCTTAAAATGTGCTACTGACATAGTCTACTTTTCAAGTCTTTGATGACATCCAACTGTCTAAACAACTCCAACTGTCTAACTGATCAGAAATATGAAAGCAAAAAATATCTTCCCTTCAAATTTTAATATGACAGAATAAAATTTTAAGACATAATAAGATTTTCATTCCATTTTAACTTGAAATCTTGTTTTCTCATACCTTTTTATTTATGCATTAATTACTCTTATATTATTAGACAGTATGAATGAATAATATTATGCATTCGGTATCAATAACATTAATTAGAGATTATATTTTTGGAAAGGGGAAAAAAAAGGAGAAATAAAGATAAATTTCATTATACTTACTAAGGAAACAACATCCAACAAAAAGCTCACTAAAGAACACAACTCTTTCAAATTAGGATTTCCAGACCCTACTCTTTGAACCCACTCTAAATCTTCATTTAAATCAGAACTTAAGTTTGACATTTTACAAGACGTTTCAAAATGTTTTGCAGCATATTCCCATAAATATGAAGGCTCAAGAGTAGCAAATAGAAGGTTTGCAGCTTTTTTTAATTCTCCACGATCTTTAGTTGATTTTTGGCTTTTTCTTCCACTTTTCTCACTGTTAACATGTGAAGTATTGCAGGCTAAATATAGTGATCTAAAAAAAGAGAGAGAGAGAGAGAAAGAGGTATAAATCTCAATTATTATAACTTAAATCATAATTACATGCATCAAAGAACCAAATCATAACAACCATCAACTAAGTATAGCATTAATTCTCAACCTTCCGCTGACGTAACTCTTTCTCATTCAGGCAGCATAATCCAAGGTTTCTAAACATATCTTGCAGTGTGATAAAGATTGTATATTGATACATGAGTAAGTATATTCACAGTACAATTCCAAAGGCCAAAGATACTGTGTGGATTAAGGGTGACAATTAGTTACAGGTACTGCGCAGGAAATAGTAGTTCTTAGTTTCTGCTGTCTCACCAAAGAATGATATTTGTAGAATCCTCGAAGACAGAGAACCATCTAGGGTCAACTCCTAATTAACTGAGGTAATACCAGGAACTATATCCACTGTTAACTCAAAATTCCGATTAATCTGAGGGTAGTTAAGAAAACACAGGACAGTAAAAGAAACACTACTATAATTAACGTAATATTATTAACAATCACCATAATATCACTAATTTATTTGTATTTTCAAGCAGTTCAACATGAAGAATAAGTTAATCTGATTATGTAAATGAAATCAGTCTTCAAAACTATTCCTCTCTCTCGAGCAAATGCATGTACCCTCTTTCCTTGTCTATGTTTCTAAATTACTTCAATGCACCTGTGGTTTGTTTTCACTTGTCTACATTTCTAAATCACTTTATGCTGCACCTGTGGTTTGTTTTTGTTTACATCATTTGTTATCTTTTGCCTTACAGGATGAAACACAGCAAAAAATGCTATCTAGAAATTTATTTGTGCTAATCTGATACATCTACAAAGAAAACACAGTGATAAAAGTTTTCTAAGCACAAGAAATATCTCTTAGGTTACTTATTTCATAAACAAAGAACAATACATGTATGATACACTTAAAAATTTTTTATTGACTATACTTATTATGAAAACAAGAACAGTATTACAAAGAATATGAACTATATATTTAATTTGATGGTGGCCAAAAGGCAACACTGATGCATATACCTTTCTGTAAAAAATTGTTAGGTCTGGGGAAAAAAAAAAAAAAAAAAAAAAAAAAAACACTGTCCAATAACAGAAAAAAAAAATAAATCCCTTATTTTGACAGCAGTCAATGTGAAACAAACAATTTATGGTTGCATACTTGATTTATTTTTAAGATAAAGCAGTTTACACATAACTGATGATTTATTAAAGTTTTTTACACTCTAGATTATGTACAATTTAATTATATGGTGTTGTGGATTTAAAAAAATCCCAAATATTATCATTAATCTTAACCTGCACACTATTCTTTTCCTACGTGTATTTTTCATAGCACAGTTTAGTTTTATGCAGATTTCTTGTGACAGTAATTTTTCCATTCTTTTGCAATAAAAAAATTAATAGTAAGTTTTAGACAAAGTCTGGTTATTTGTTTATGATTCCTGGTTTACTGGGGGTCTATTTATTGCTCCTGATGTATACGTTTGAATGCAAATCACTTTTTAGTGAATTATCACCAGTAATACTAAAAAAATGGCATTAACTGCATAAAATTGAGAATATGGTGATGTAAATAAAAACTCATAACTTCAAGTAGAAAGTATTTGATAATTCTCTTGCCACAGGAAAGCACTAAACCCTTCATGTTAAAAGTATAAATAATTTGGGCTCTTGGAGATAGAGTTCAATAATCCTTGGGACACATTCTTAGCCATTCAGAGTCAATAACCAAATATCTAAACCTGCAGCACACTCATTCATGCAGTTTAATTTCTAAAGGCTAACTTTACACAGCTTTCAGTATCATCTAATGAAACATGAATCTGAACCATTTTTTTTTTTTTTTAAAGGCAGGATAGACACCTGTTTTGAAAGACTGACAGCCCTTGAGTGCTTTGCCATAGTTAATCAACCAACCATTCTTGAGATGAACGAGGATACAGTATTGCTTAATAAAGCACAAAAACATAGTTTGCCATAAATGTATTTTTGCAGAACAGAATTATAAACACTGCATGTTTTCTAATAACAGAATTATAAGCACTGTCTGTATCATAATCTTGTACATAATTTCTAACTACTACAATCAAGGAAAATGAAAATCAAAAGGTATATATGAAGTTGCAATGAGAGAAAAAAAGACATGTGAGTACATACAGAACACCAGAGAAGGCAAAGGACTCATGGGCTTTATAAAAATGAAATCATCAAAATATGAAAAGTTATCATATAATGTATATCTAAGTGAAAAAAGGCAGGTAAACAAAATAGCAAAAGAAGCTTTCAAATTCTCCAAAATACACGAATAATATTCTTTAACAGAACTAATTGTAGGGAAAAAAATCATACATCTTACACACCTAAAAATGTCAATCAATACATCATCTAATATAACTGAGCTGATTTCTGGACGATCAAGTAAACTAATTAATAATCTGTAACACCAAAGTTCTGCATTTGAAGGTACACTGGTAGATGAAATAACTGTTTGTGGGTTCTGAAAAATGAAGAAAAAAATTAAAACAATTCCCAAGCAATCAAAATCAAAAACAAATTTAGAAGAACTCTAACATAAACTTGTTTTCTTTTAATAATCTATAATATACAATCGTTGTAAATCTTTTGGAAAAAGGAATGATACAAAATAATAAAGCCTAAACAAATAAAATTCAATTAACGCTTTTTATTTATTTAACTTTAAGTGTTAATTTATTTATACTTTTTGAATGCTTTACACATAATACTTTAATTTTTCTATCAAGCGAATAAAAGGTGGCTTCATTTTACCTGATATAACCTTTTAACTCCCTGTCACCAAATCCAAAGGTAAGAAACCTCTGATTTATATATATTTCTATATATGTAAATCAGATTTCTTATAAATTCTTATATCTCTATAGAAATAGTGCTTTATGATGAAAGGAAACTATTATAGAAGAAATCGGCAGCGTTATTTTGATAGCAGCTATGTTTCATTTCCTTAAATGTTGATTCTCAACAGGTATTACAGGTTGCAGAATTCTTCAAAATAAAGCACAAAATGTTTCAAAAACATTTTTCATATTGGGCATAGAACGGTTCTATAAATAAAAGTCTAACTTTTCTTATGATCCTTACAAAGCAAGAAGTTCATAAATGAAATGTCTGTTATGCTTCAGTAAAGCTTTATGTATTAAATGTCTGTTATGCTGCAGTAAACTTTAAAAATGGTGTTATTATACAGAAAAGGCATTTAGTATTAAATTAAATGCTCCAAAAATTTACAAGAAAAATTCATGGAGATATTAGTAATTAATAGTTCTATAGGGATAGATATAAGTTAGTAACATGTGCAGCTTAACGCAATACAGAACCATTGAATTCCTAAAACAATCAACTATTGCTTTGTAATGCTTCCCTAAATCTAAAAGAAATCTGGTCAAAACAGTTTTGCAACAAGTATCAGTAAATTCATTCTTACATGAAATATCCACAAATTTGCAGATAAAGGTAGGGAATATTTTTAAATTAATGAATACTTATTAATGCATGGTGAATATTTTAACAACTGGACTTTTTATCTACAGGTATCATCCTTATTTTGAGAAACTCCATAACTGAAAGTATGTGTTATTATTTAAGGAAATCAAGCCAGTAGTCATCTTTTTTCAAACACCCCATGTGCACCAGCCTAATGACAGGCTATTCTGCCTTTTGCTGTAAGAATACTAACAAGACGCTTTACTAATTCAATGAAGTATTGAATATTAAAGAACAGTAAAGACAATCAAAATTATAAAAATGCCTATCCTGCTTCATCCCTAATTACTAGAAAAAATTTGTGTTCTTGAATTCTTATCTCAAAAATTATATTTGATGGAGGCCATCTGAGTATCACAACTCATCTTAAGAGGTCTTTAGCAAGCCCGTTACAATTCAGGAATAATGCAGCACAGAATGGTATTATTTTCTTTAAAAATCGTGTTATACATAAAAGGCTGATGAAGAAATGTACATGTAAAGATGTAAAGAGTGTTTGAGGAAGTTTGAAAGATCTGCATGGAATTTAAGGATTTCAAAAATCTCACATAATTGTTTCTCAAACTGTTATGCACACTGTTGGGGGAAATGCATCTGTAATAAAACTGAACTACAGCAACATTCAGCATACAAATGTCACTTAAAGAATGTCAGTGCCACATAGAAATGATCAGAATTTCAGCACAAATGATAATAAATGGCCCATTTAAAAGTGCACATGAAGAGCCTGTTTTCTGTTCTGATACTTCATTGTTCTGCTTTGGTTGATTGTGCACAAAGATGCCTTTGAAACACACACAACAGCAATATGGCCTGATTTATGCATCACAAGCCTAAGAGAAGCTGGGTGGCCCAATATACATATCAGCTTCCATCTCATCTCATCTAGTCAGAATGTTATGGCAGTCGCTTGGCATTGGAAAATGAATCAGACATTGCATATATTTTAACATAAAGGCTTAGGAAGTTTCACATACACAAATGCTTGAGATAATCGTGCAAATAGGAGAATAGATACAATTGTACCACTGACATCTTTATCATCCATCTGATATCATTTACAATCTTTCATGTACCCTGCAATGTCACGGTATACCAGCTGGAGATGACTGGTCAATGCTAGGGTGAGTTACTATCTTCCATCAATTTCCCAACTGAGCCAGCTAAAATGGTGTTAGCTCAGTGATCCAGGATAGGTTTTGAAGCATCTTGTCTTTAGTAACAAATTCCCCTTCCTTCTTAGTGCTGAGGACTGCTACACGTACATGTGAAGGAGGAGGTGTCAACCTTCCGGATCCACATCTGTTCAATCAGCCATGGGCATCACTTCTGGTGTAACAATTTAAGAAGCAATCAACCCAGGAATCCTATCATCTTGAATTTTAGTGTAAGGCCATCCAACAGCTCACATAGATATTTGCAACATTCTGTAGCTGATTGCATTAGCTATGGTATCAAATCACCTAAGTACCATTTACGAAGACAGCAATGCTCAGTCACATACTGCATGAGTTTCTCAACATGGATTTAATATTCTTTATTGTTATCTAGATCCCCAAGGTCTATCACCAGCAAAACATGTCTAGGGCATGTTACAATGGCAATTTTAGATTTCAGTTGTAAAATTTGTTGTGGAATCTTCTGTAGCAGGATATAAAGAACGGAGCTCAAAACCTACATCAAATATTAGCTTATATAGCTTCCAGAAAAAGATTTATCACATTAAAAAACTTGATCTTGTTATTGCTACTATTTTTAATTAAAAAAACTATTCTCTCTAAAATTTTAATCAATTAAATCTATTCTCAAAAAACAAAAATGCATCAAATTCCATGACTGTAGGTTAAATTTTTATAGATGAACATTTTTCAAACAAAGTGCATAACTTGTCTTACTCCAACTTGGTAAATCTGATCCAGACCTTCATGTTATCTGTACAACACAAAATGGAAAGCCCAATGTAACACAAATGCATTTTAACTACTTTAAAATACTACCAGAACTGCAAAATACTTGCTTGATATATTCATTCCACTATAACTTATACTAAAGGCCCTGATAAGAAAATTTTATATAATGCTCTGAATGTATTATGGTCATGCTGCAGCCTGATCTAATACCAACTGTTTCAGTTGTCTACAGTTTATGGAAGACTAATAAAAAAGCTTAACTGGAAACCTCAGCTTGTAATCTAACACTTTGAAAAGTTTATACGGAATATTTTTAAGAATTAAAAGATTTTTAAAAATCCAACTAATGTTTGCAATTACTGTTACTGAAATTATGCCATTATCATAATAGCAATTTTAACTTACAGCATAATAATCCAAATATTAGTTGGGCTATTCAAAGCCAATTATCATCAAGAAATTAAGTAAATCCATTTTAAAGTAAAGAAACCATTCTCCTTACTCCAAAATGTATGAAAAGACCATATCCCATTAAAGACAGGTATTAAAAAGTGTTACGTAACAAAAGGTAAACATAAACATAATGTACATGCGAACTTGTAATAAAAAATTACTTCTCTAAACATATCATTACCCAAAACAATTAGTTATACAACAAATTCATAATTCAAAGAACACTTTAGCAACAGCATACAAAATCAGCATTATTTGTAATGGCAAAATGTGCCTCTCACAGTACTACTTTAATGAGAAGGTACATGAAATTCAAGGCTCATAACTGTAAGTTGGAGCTTTTCAAAATATTTCATGCAGAATAATTACCACACATAACACACAGCAGGATGATTTTTCATTATGAATTTAGAAAATATCAACATCTAGGTTAAAATCCTCATCTATATATTGAAGAGCCATGATCTGACTGTGCAACAGTGGGAAACCCAAAAGATGAAAATTGTTTGCAGTTGCTTTTTCAAGATTAAAAGAATAATGGCCTTATTATGATATTTATGTAATATTAATTACAGTTCACCATAAAAGTGTCGATATAAGCAATGAAGTTTTCATTTTGAAGGGGGTAAATATTTATAACAGAATTTTGATGATTCACCATGAAATCATTTCATAATAAATTGACATCATGTGGAAACTTCATTTCCTACAGAAAAGAATCATTTAAAGCACAGCTGTACTTATTTTTTTATTATATTCCTTGTACATGAGGATTACAACAAACATTTCTCACAAGTAAAATGACAACAGTTTTGCTTTTATCAGGATATAAAATTTATAAGCAATTACTGACATTAAAAATAAAAGTAACAAACATATGTAAATCCTGACTTAAGGCATATATTTAAGTTTTAAAAAATGTCAATGCAGCACATTTGTTATACTTTCAGAATAAACCAAGCACACTTTGCTCTATAGGAATATATGACTTCATGAATGACTTTCTAAGGGCAACTGGCTCACATTCATGCTACACATGAAGAAAGTTGTTAAAACTTTATGTTTTGAGCCCATGTAACTACTGGTGTGTAACTACTTGTATTACCCAACCCTAGCCATTCTGCCAATAGTCAGTAGGATGCATTTTTGGTAAAAGGTTAAAATTATCAGAAGCAAAGTAACATAAAAATTTTTGTCAGAGTGTTTTCATTGACAATATTCTTTAACTCATTTAAGGTGATAAAGCTGCTAATTTTAACTGATATCCTTCATTTTTAATACACAGAAATAACCAAAATCCTTTCAAACTAATTTAACATTCAAAATGGATGAGCTTCCTTGTGAATATATTAATGTGTACAGTTGTTCTTATCAAGGAAGTGAAAAGATGTTGTGAAAGAAGACTTACTTTTAGAAAACTTATAAATATTTATCATACACGCCTAGCACAAGTAATGCAAAATATTCTTGGTATTATAGAAAATTTTCCATAGTGTTAATAGAAATAGCATGTGTGATGAATACGAGGCAAATATGACCCAAATGGATGGAATTTTTTTTGGCTTTGTGCAACAAAATATTCACCGTTATTAGAAAAATCCAACAATTATTATGA